TTAAGAAAACAGAAGAGAGAAAAGAGATGTAACTTACAGAAGATATATTCACTAAAATACATATACTAGAAAGTATAGGCTATGCCCTCAGAATGTCAAAACACAGGTGTTTTACATTGAGACAAACTATACTGCCTAAATGATAAACTATAGTATTAACTTGAAAAACAAGCATTACACACATAGATCTTTTGCTTGGTTCATTATATCCTGCCCTCTGTAGGCTTTGGGCTCCGAGCACATTCCTATATCCAACTACCAATTCCACTTCTTTACCTGGATGCCTAATGAACATATCAAACTTCACAGGTCCAAAAGAAATTTAATTTTCATTCTTTAAATCTCAGTTTTCTTCACCTCTGTCAATGGCTCACAGTTTACCTGTTTCAACCAAAAACCTGAGACTCATCATTGATTCTATTACTTCACTGCCTAACCCTGAATTAACAAGTCTCGTTATCTTTCCTTCAAATAGATTCCAAATCAGTATAGTTTTTTGTATTTTTTTTCCTTTTCAGTTTGCCTTCATCTTTTCCCAAATGCTCTGATGGGAATGAAATCCAAATTTTCCTCCATCGTATACGGAGCCCCACGAGATCTGGTCTGCGAGATCTGCCCATCCACCCTTTCCTTCTCTAAATATTCATGCGTGTCCTCTGTGGGCTTCTTCATTTTCACTTTGTTCTGTTGTGATGCAATCCCCCATGGGTGCAAAGCCCCCTTTGTGGCTGGATCCCACTCGCCATACCAATTCCTCGTCTCATCGGTCACCATTTCAGACAAGCCTTCCCTGACTCCTCAACCTAATTAGCAATGCCCCACCCTCACCACCCACCACCCTACTTTTCCTCACCCTGTTTCATCATAACACCTGTCATTGTCACTTTCCTTCATGGGTTGGCTGGTGTATGTTCTCCCTCCCCAAACTAGAGCATGAGTTCCATGAGAAAAGGGGGCTTGTTGGTCTTATGTGCCCCCAAATACCAAATCCTGCAACACTATTTGAATGAGTGACAGATAAGATCCTATCCCTAAATAGTGCTGTCGGCAGTTTGGGGCAGAGTTTATTTAAATATGATGAACTGTACAGGAATCCCCCAGAGGATCACAGATGTATAGCACACCACCATATTCCTTACCAACCGATATGAAATGTAGCACTAATGCTAAGCAAACAAAGAACTCGATCCAGTCAGAGAGTGTATGATGCTGATGCTTCAATAATGCAGAAAACTTGGACGATTGGAACGTGGAGAGGGCTGCTTTCCTATTCTCCAGGGAAGGGAATCATTACTCCATCGCTCCGTGACTAAGAAGAGCCAGTACCTTGGCTTATTTTAAAAAAAAATTTTATTTTATTTTATTTATTTATTTCAGAGAGAGAGAGAATGAGAGATAGAAAGCACGAGAGGGAAGAGGGTCAGAGGGAGAAGCAGACTCCCCGCCAAGCAGGGAGCCTGATGTGGGACTCGATCCCGGGACTCCAGGATCATGACCTGAGCCGAAGGCAGTCGCTTAACCAACTGAGCCACCCAGGCGCCCCCTTGGCTTATTTTTAAAGGGTAAGTGCTACTGCCAGAAGTTTGAGGCACATCCAATGTTTATGCCAAAGGAACTTTGGTAACTGGACTTTTGAAAAAGAGAAACAAGACAGGGTGGGGTGGGGTGGGGGGGAGGTGGGGAGAGATGGATAAATGCTTCCAGCCAGGGAAGGCCAACCCTAGGGTGTTTTTATGCAACTACAACCAACCACATACAGCTTGGGGCAAAGCTCTATTTATTTCCCTCTCTTCTCCTCCTCAATTTGCCTTCAGGTCATTGCTTAAAAATTATTTCACAAACATAATCTTTTCTTCCAAGAACCTCAGTTAAGAATTAAAATATGATGTCACTAACTAAAAGCAAACAGGAATTCTGTTTTTAAGCACTCACCTCAGACCTTGAATTCTGCCAGCAGGTAAATCTCCTTTGGAATATATTACTTACCCTTGGATGTAGATAGAACAAATATCTGGATGCATTTAGAGAATAAGTGGTTTTGCTCCTTTTTTTTAGTTAAGGATTTATATTAAACAAATGTCTTTGGGGCTTCAAACCACGGTGTGGGACACATCCACTGTTAACTCTCTGAGGGCGTGGACCGGGTTACCTGTTCACTCTGGGCTGAGCCTGAAGCCACGGATCTGCCGCAGAGCAGATGTAGCCCCCTGCCTGCAGGAGCAGTTCACTGAAAGCCATAAATATTGGACCGAAAAAAAGCAAGACCTCCTTGAAGGGGTCAGATGTCTTAACAGAATGACTTTCTTCTTTCCCTAATCTTTAATGCCAAGAACTGCTTGTTCTTGTTCTGTGTGAAATCAACAAAAGGGATTAAGTAATACAATGCATCTCTGCAAAAAAAAAAAAAAAAAAACAACTTTTTCTTTTAGCAGAGCTTTTATTTCCCCTCTCTCTGCCTCCACTTGCCTTCAGGTAAATGCCTAGAGATTATTTCACAAACACTATCTGTTCTTCAAAGAACTTTAGTTAAGAATTAAAATATTTAATTAACTAAAAGAAAAATCAGGTATTCTACTTTCAATTCTCAGTTCTCTCAAATTCTCTGTGGCTATAGCATTTTTCCCAAATTGGTGCATTCCAAATTCAGAGCGGTGAAAAGGATATTTCTTTTTATAAAAAAATTCAGACGAAAACCCTTCGAAACAAGATTTGTAGTGAACATCATAAACTATAAATAAATACCTTTATTAGAGGAAATGGTAGCTCAAACAGATAAAACATTATGTGCTAACAACATCAATGAGTAAAAGACTCAGAAAAGACATTTTAAAGAGAAATCTAGATAATTTTCTAATTATCCGACCTTGCTAATAATCTGAACAAAGAATTTAAAAATGTTTGTTTCTAGTCTATAAAATTATAAATAAAATGATTGTTTCCCCATTAAAAAAAAAACACACAAGAAAAACCCCCCAAGACATCCCTTGTTCAAACAAAATATTATTGAAAAGCCCTAGCAAATTGGGTTTCATCCAACATATTTGAAAGGGTGGACCATGAAGACTGTCCTGTTTTTTTCCCTGTTCACTACCCTTCAGGGACTTATGAGGAACTTTGAAGGAGGTTCTAGTTCTTCATGAAGCATAACTGGAAAACCACTCTTTTTAACATAATGCAGTCTGATAAGAGACCATACGCACAATGGGTATACTCTCACAACATCAATGAGATTCTAAATCACATCAGCCATTTTTAACAGCAATTTGGAAATATGCCATAAAAAATCACCAAGGTATTCACGTCCTTTGACTGCCTTCACTTCTGAGCCCCCCTACTGGCTACATTGCATAAAGATATTAATTGCCGCATCATGTAACACAGTAAAACATTAGGAAGAAAAATGCATGTGTTCAGCCCTGCAGTGCATACTGACTGGCAAATGACCTTGCAAAAGCTCATGTTGCTATTGAAGGACGGAGAAAAAGAATGGCTGGGGGTGCAGTTTAGAAGGTCTGTGAAGAGGTTCATTACGTAGTGCCTAATCTGTCCTTACTGAAGGAGGTTTCTATCTTCACGGAGGACATTGATTCCCCAAATTATCCTTGCCCAGATATCACGTTACCAAAGACCACAATGAAAACTAGAAAATGGGGCAGGTTGCGGCATTATCATTAATTGTTCTCCAAGGACTCTTCAGATAAGCAGAGTCACAACTTTAACATTGGCAAAGTCTCCCTGAAGAAAATAAAGGTCAAAAAGTCTAAAACATTACTCTGGGACTCCCTGTCTTAGCGATGGATCTAGGGAATCTATAGCTATCTGAGGCACCCCTGACCAAGAAAAGAACAAGGCCACAAAAGGGGTAGGTCAGGAGCTAGACAGGAGGTCTCTACATGGTAAACCTCAAGCTTAAAGTGCATAAAAGGATTCTGTAAATAAGATTATCCAGTTTCACATTCTTCTTGTGTTTTTCTTCCCTGTGTAATCCCATATCTTCAACAAAGTCTAATTTAAATGCTTCTAGCCTAGTCTCAGCTATGCTGTGGGCAAAGGAAGGATTTTGTGTCCATATTTTAGCCAGCCAGAGAAGATATCCCAGCCCACCATCCATGCCTCAAGCTGGCATGCTGATGGCAAAGGTGATGAGTGAGGAATGAGGAAAGGGGTTTATCAAAGTCCAAGGCCAGGTCATCAGCTTCTGCTGCCTGCCCTGCACAGGGAGGCATTCCCAATCACCATTATTCATGGGGTGGTGTGGATTTGATGACAGAAGGTCACTTCTTCATAGCCTCAAGAATGTTTAAAAAAATCAGTTAAAAAATAAGCATCTCAAAATACAAATGAGACCAGGAAAAGAATGTCTGATGGCAAAAACGCAAACAAATGAATAAAGACAGACTTCAGGCTCTTGCAATTCTCTCTCCTTGTCTATTTTCAGAAAGGGACAATTTATCAGTTGTTTGTGGGAATGATGGTTTTAGGTGGGGAGACAGGAACACATGAAAGCAAAATTTCTTTTTAACTTTAAGTCAAAGCCAAACAAACAGACAGACTAATGTAATCACTTATTCAAAAGGAAAGAAATAACAAAAAAGTATAATCAACATCATTAGTTTTGTTTTGTTTTTTAAAGAACAGCATTTTGAAAGACTATCTAATTCAATCTTGCAGTTGTACAGAGCACGCATCTAATTTCATAACTGGATGTGTGCTACATTTGCAGAAATTTTAATCTGTCTAAACATAAAGTGGACTGTATCACAAGTGTCTTCTATCCTGCCACAATGTAAAGCACTTTAGTACAATCCTGCATAGCTCTCCTTTTATTTCCTCTGACTTGTTTTATACTCATTTTTTTCTAGGGGTACTGCCTACATCTCTGTAAATCAGTCAAACTATGTTCTGAAAGAAGGTAGAGTACACACAAATAAAAATTATTTTTCTCTCCATACTTTTTTCTTTCTGAAATTACTTTTCCTTCTGAAAATGATTCCTCTTACCTTCGGTTGTTTGCAAAGATAGCGACAAAGTTCTCCGATATACTGAAACACAGTCACATTATACTTTCTGCAGTCATTCCAAAACTGACTTGCTGAGAATTTCTTCTTTAACACACAAGTAGCTCCTATGAGAAAAGGCAAAGAACAGGCGCTGGGGAAAAATATTCAAGGGCAGAATTGACCTAAAACACAAAGGATGTTGCCCTGTCTAGAACTCCTGGAACTCTGTCTTGCCCTCCATTTCAAGGCTTTTCTAATCCATCAGTGGACATTTATTTCAAGCTCATTTGAAACCATTAATCTTACAATTGAATAAACTTTTAAAAAAATTCATGTTGTAATTCTATATTTTGACTGCAAATATTTTTTTTTTCTTTTTGAAATACGGGATGAAAGAAGAGGTCAAAATAAGTAGGGGAGTTGCAAGTATTAGAGCATGACTACAGGAAAGGGTCAGCCGTCTTCACAGAGACCAAGAATATTCACTTACTTTTGTTCTTGAATATGTACATTTTATTTATTTTCAAAACCTTAAAGCTGCCTCAATATTTCTTGATGCTGAGAGTTGGTAAGGCAGAATTGGGAAGATAGCACCAGCCAAGTTCATCGATGACTACGGACCCGAAATGTAACAACCTAATTTTCACAAGAATGTAAGTCATATGAATATGTTCCAAGGAAAATGCTAATGTCTTGACCCTTGCCTTTGTTCATTGATCGTATTCTAAATATGCTATTCCATAAAATCATTTTTGTATATTTCAGACAGATACAGATAGTAGTGAATGGTCTCTGTTATATACTATTTAGGGGCCAGATAAATAATCTCAGCATGTTCATGAATGGAATCCACTCAGTCACAAGCTACCAACAAACTTACTGGGTGCCTGGGGTACCTTGTTTGCAAAGATAACCTCAACAATTCCTTCTGTGCGCTTACCTTTACAATGTGAATTTGCCACCTCTCCCTTTCAAGGGGTAGGGTCTGTTTCCTCACCCTTCAAATCTTGAATCTATACTGATTTGTGACTTGCTTTGATCAACAAAATGCAGGTGATCAGTGTGATTTCTGAGGTCAAGCCTTAAGAGCTACGCAGTTTCTACATTCACACTCTTGGAAGGCTCCTATCACCATTTAAGGAGGCAGGAGTAGACCATCAAAGGATAAGTGACCACATGAAGAAGGAAGCCCAATCAACAGCCGGCTCCAACCATGTGACCTAATGTCCAAGGCACTGCTCTTTTCACTTCAGGAATAGACTGAGTATGTCACGAAACTGTGTCCTTTTAATAAAAATTATGTTCTAATTATAATAATAAGCCCACAATCACTCTGAATTCTACTGATAGAGCTTCAAACTTTAATGAACACAAGTTATGGTTAGTAAGCATTCGGGAAACTCATCAAGCAAAAAATGAAAACTTACCCAACTCAATACATCCACCAATTCCCAGAAGAGCTCCTGAACTATGATACAGAGGAAGAGTTATATAAATGATGTCATTAGCAGTACAACCGAAAGCCCACAAGCCAGCAGAACCCTTTAAAGCCTGCAGCTGACTGATTACAGCTGCTTTTGGTAGACCTGGAAGGAAAGAAAAGAGATATATGTAATAGAAAGCAAGTTTATGTATTACATGTGCTTTGTAGGGACCATGCAAATGTGAGCTACCGCTCTAATTAATTTCTAGAATCTTGGATCTACCCAGAAGGATCAAAACCAAGATTATATAGAGTTTGAGATACCATTAGCTTCCAAGAGCTATATCTACTATAAGAATGACAAAAATGCCCCAAATCTGGAAATGTACACCCAAAATGAGGTAAATCACAACATAAATCTAAATTTTCCTTAAAGTAGAAATTTTCTAGTGAAAAATTCCAAGTAAGATTCTATCTCAAGAACCAGCAATTTTGTCATGTTTCATACGTCCTGGTATAAGATCATTATAGAATATCAGATTCCATACTACATGATGCTGAAATAGTTCTATACATTCATGATTCAAACATAAATCATTTGCTTTTTTCTTTCTAGTCTTCTTCTGTGTCCTAAGGGTTTCTTATAAAAATTTCTAGTTATAATTAATGTATAAAACATTTTGCACACTGTTTTTAATTTTCCATATTGTTATAGTCTTTTGCAGTATAATGTCAGCATAATAAATTCATCCAGTTAATATATGATATAATATGAAATTGCCTTATCTGTGATTGAATATCAGCAATTTCATGTTTCAACCTACATCTCCTTGTACACACAACACACAACTGGTTTTCATAATGATAAGTATCCTCTCTTGAATTCATTTGTTAGATTAAATGGCATTTTAGTCCTATTCTGTTTGTCAGTTCAAAGAGTTCTAGTATTTCTGGAATGTCCTCATGCAGAGGGCCCCATTCCAAATCTACCTCACCAATAAAGTTTCTTTGCTTCACAACACGCAACGGTGATGAGGAGTGTCATCCATTCTTGCAGGGAGACAAGCAGAGACCAACGTGAGAGAAGCCACAGGAATAAGCAAATGGCAGGATCAAAAGTGAAGACCAGCCACCATAAAGTGTGGCCTTTCTCCACCCCGCATACTGACACAGAACGTCAGTGGCTCTACAAACTTACCGCTGCACCTGATTGGACTTTATTTCCCAATTCTAGAAATTGAGACCTAAATGTGTTTCCCAATTTGAAGTACTTCCTTGTAATTTTCAGCCTGCCTTAGAGTCCTACAGCAAAATATGCTCCCACAGTGATGTCAGCTGCAAGGATGGTGAGTCATTCTTTTTTCCCTCTCCCCTCTGATATACAACTAATGGGACATGTGTAACTACCTCCCCTCCAAAAGTGCGTCTGCGCAACATACAAGGACATCCCAGAGATCCGCCCATCTGTGGTCGTGAATGTGGGCGAACTGGACCCCAGAGGAGGTGGCAGAGTGAGGGAAGTGGTGCTGGAGCCATGACCCTTCTGGCAGAAGAGGTCAAGGGTGGCGGCAGTGAGTGGGGGAGTGGTGAATCTGCCTGGGCCCATAGGCTGCAGCTGGACCAAGCTGCTCTCTCTGAGAGACCACAGTGACTGAGGGGAGGGAAAGGGAAATGAAATAGGCAGACAAAGAGAGGTGAAGGAAAGTGACTCCTACTATCTACCCCAGGACTCAAGAGGACGGCCCATAGACCTTTAGGACCCCCCTCTCCCCTTGCACTTGATGATTCCCGTACCAGGGCAGAGGCATGCCCAAAGCCCCAAGTGCTAAGTACACACCACCCCCCCACCTCAACCACCACTCTGCCTTTTTTGTGTTCCCAGCTCCAGTAGAGAAACCAAGAATTGGTGCTATAGCGCCACCTTCTGGAAAACGAAAGGAAGGCTCCTAACTACCAATGTGTTCAACTGATAGTATCAAAGTAAACAAAACCTTGCCTAGGGGCGCCTGGCTGGCTTAGTTGGTGGAGCATGTGACTTAGTCTACAGGTTGTGACCAAGAGCCCCAGGTTGGGTGTAGAGATTACGTAAAAATAAAATCTTTTTAAAAAAACCCCAAAAAACCATGACGCCTGGTTTGTTCAGTTGGCTAAGCATCTGCCTTGGGCTCTGGTCATGATCCCAGGGTCTGAGATCTAGTCCCGCATCGGGCTCCTTCCTTGGTGGGGAGCCTGCTTCTCCCTCTGCCTGCTCTTCCCCCTGCTTGTGTTCTCTCTCTCAATCTGACAAATAAATAAATAAAATCTTAAAAACAAAAACAACACTGCCTAAATAAGAAAGGTATTTGCTGCCTCAAATATGGTGGCAGAGGCACTTTTCATCAAACATCATGAAAAATCATGGTCATAGAGTATAACAGAAAATGACAATTCTCCATGAACCAAACCCAAAGATATGGGATACTGCAATCTAACTGATACAGAATTTAAAATAGTTATTATGAAGATATTCAATGAGCTACAAGAAAACTCAGCGAGACAATATGATGATCTCAGGGATACAATTCATGAACAGGAGTAATTTAACCAAAGAAGACTGAAATTGTGAAAAAGAACCAAACAAATTCTGGAGCTGAAGAATTCAAGAAATGAGATGAAAAATGCTTTAGGAAGGCAGTGGAAATAGACCTAGATCATATGGAAGAGAGAATGAGTAAGATGGAAGATAGAAATACAGAAATGATTCAGGTGTAAGAGGAGAAAAAACTAAGATTTTTAAAAAGTGAAGAAAACCTATGAGAACCATCTGATTCCTTTAGAAAAGCCAACACAAGAATAATGGGTAGCCCAGAAGGAGATGAGAGGGAGAAGGGGGCAGAGGGAATATTTAAAGAAATAATAGCTCAGAACTTCCCGTATCTCGGGAAGGAACTGGGTATACAAGTCCATGAAGCTAACAGAACACCTTGCTATTTCAATGCACAAAGATCTTTTCCAAGACACATTATATTAAAACTGTCACAAGTCAATGATAATGAAAGAATTTTAAAGTCAGCCTAGGAGAAAAAGACAGTAGCCGGCAATGGTACCCCCATTATGCTATCGGCAAATTTCTAGCAGAAACTCTACAGGCCAGGAGAGAATGGAATGACATATTCAAAATATTGGAAGATAAAAATTGCCAGCCATGAATAATCCACCTGGCAAAGTTATCCTTCAGATATGAAGCAGAAATAAAGGCTTTCCCAAACAAACCAAAGTTGAGGGAGTTCACCACCATGAGATCTGACTTATATAAAATGTTGAAAATTCTGAGCTCTTTGAGCTGAAACAAAGAGGCAAAAGTACACAGAACTCTGATTAAGTTGATAAAGTCGGTCAGAATTAGAATACTGTAACTCTTTTTAGAATAGTATAATAAACTCAACTATAACATAAAGGATAAAGGAAAATCGCATTAAAAATAACTATATCTACTACAACTTGGTAATGAAATCATAGCATATAAAGAGATAATTTGTGACATCAAAAATATAAAAGTTTGAGTAAAAAGATGGAAACTTTATAGGTGAATGAAGATAAACTGCTTTCAGCAGAAAAAAGAATTATTTTATCTATGAAATGTTTTATGTAAATGCTTGGTAACCACAAAGCAAAAATCTAGAGCAGAGACATTATACATAAAAAAGGGCAAGACTGAGCAAATCATCATGGAAAACCACCAACTTACAAAGGCAGACATAAACATAAACGGAAGGAAAAAGAAATAGAGACCCAAAATTACCAGAGGGCAAAAGATAAATGACACTAGTAAATAATCAATAATCACCCTAAATTTAAATGTTTTGTACTCACCAGTCAAAAAGCACAGAGTGGCTGCATGGATTAAAAAAAAAAAAAGACCCAACTATATGCTGCTTACAGGAGAATCATTTCAGCTCTGAAGATACACATAGGTTCATAATGAAAGGATACAGGTTGATATTCCAAGCAAATGGAAATGAGAAGAAGGCAGGCGTAGCTATATTAACCTCACAAAACAGACTTCAAGCCAAATGGGTAATAAGAGAAAGGTCATTATAAAATGGTAAGGGGTCAGTATATCAAGAAAATACAATGATCGTAAATATATAATGCTCTTAACACCTGAGCACCAAAATGTATTAAGCAATTAATAACAGATCTTAAGGAAGAAATACATGACAGTATAAGAATTGTAGGGTACCTCACACTTGATCTTAACTAAAAAGCTGACAAGTGATTGTAGGAAACCTCAGGACCCCACCATCAACGATGGGTAGAGCATTGAGAAAATCAACAAGGAATCACTGGAATCGAACAACATTTTAGAAAAAATGGACCTAATAGACATGTACAGGACATTTCACCCAACAGCAGCAGAATACACATTCTTCTCAAATGCACATGGAAAAATCAGGGTAGATAAGTCATAAGTCATAAGTCGTAAGTCACAAAACAAATCTTAGCAAATTTAGGAAGACTGAAATCATACCAACTATCTTCTCTGAACACAACGGTACGAAACTGGAAATCAGCAACAAGAGGAAAGTGAGATCTACAAATTGTGGAAGCTAAATAACACACTTCTAAACAACCATTTGGTCAAAGAAGAAATCAAAAGGGAAATAAAAAATTATCTCAAAACAAAAGAAACTGAAAACACAACATACCAAATATTGTGGAATAGAGCAATAGCAGCTCTGAGAGGAAAGTTTATAGCTACATATGCCTACATTAAGAAATTAGAAAGATCTCAAACAAAAAACCTAACTTCAACCTCAAGGAAATAGAAAAAGAAGAAAAAAATAAGCTCAAAGTTAGCAGAAGGAAGGAAATAATAAGGATCAGAGCAGAAATAAATGAAATACAGACCAGAAAAACAATAAAAAGGATCAACAAAACCAAAAGTTGGTTCTCTAAAAAGATAAACAAAACTGGCAGACCTTCAGCTAAACTAACTGAAGAGAGAAAACTCAAATAAATAAAATCAGAAATGAAAAAGAAGATATTATAACTGACACTATAAAAATAAAAAGGATCATGAGAGACTAAGGGGAAGAATTATGTGGCAACAAATTACACAACCTAGAAGAAATGAACGTTGCTAGAAGCACACAATGTACTAAGACTCAGGAAGAAATAGAA